GGTGCTTTGGAGGAGAGAGAGAGAGAGAGAGGAAGATATGGAGGGAGCGAGAGAGAGAGAGAGAGAGGGAGAAACGGGATTTGCAGCCGAGAGGCAAGGGGTAAAAAGAAAGAGAAAAAATCCGAAAGGAAAAAAAAAAACTTGAGTCCAGGTGATCGGAGAGCGCGACAGGCCCCTGCGGATGGAGAGAGCCCGGAGAGCCGCAGCGGTGCGTACAGAGCGCGTCGGTCCCGGAGCCCCGCACAGATCCCCTCACAAACCCCGGCTGGAAGAACGGGAGGAGGAGGGGGGAGCAGCGCTGTTACTGCAGTCAAAACAAGCAGCCCGCATCCGACTATTACAAGACCTCCGCAAGAAAAAAGAGAGAGAGAGAGAGCGAGGAATAGAAAAAAAATCTGCGACAAGCCGCGCGTTTTCAGGCGTCAGTGCAAAAAAAAAAAAAAAAAAAAAAAAAAACACCTCCCCTTCTCCCCAACTGTCTTCCTCCTTCCCCTCACCTCACCCCCCTACACCCCTCCAACCTCTGTCCCCCCTCTTCTCTGTGCTTTCCCCTCCTCCTCCTCCTCCTCCCTCCCTCTCCTCTCTGCTCTGCCAAAAGGTGCTCCAGTGCTGATATTCTGTTAAGAGCAACTGCCAACAGTTAGATTTGTCCTTGGATCCTATTCACATTCCCTCCTCCCCTCCTCTGTGATCCTGTTTCCACCCAAGGTATTCAGCCCAGAAGGGGATACACCTAATCGATTTCCCATGCCTTCATTTAAAAGTGGCACAGGCATCTTGTTACCTAATGGGGGAGTACAACAGCCAGGTTTGTACTTTTTTTTAATTATTATTTCTGTACACCACAAAATTGCTGCAAGCTTTGAGGGCAGCCGAAACTGCTAACAAGACAAGATCGATGAATTTCYCTTTATTATCCATCCCTCAACCTCACCCCTTTCCCTTTTTCTTTTTCGTTTCTTTTCCCCTCCTGGTCACACATCTCTCTTACATCCTCCTCACCACACAGACCTCACTTCCACAACTTCACTCCCACACAGCTGAGGAATCTTGTTTTTCCACACCTTTCTGGCCTCCTTCGAAACACATTCGTCTTCAGGTGCTCTGTGGTTGTGAATGAAGTTTTGGAAGCCTGGAGATAACGTTGACTCTTGTAAAAAATCACTTTCCTCTGCTCAGCCAAAACAACACCATTATAGGTGGTTTTTTTTCTTCCTGACACCCATGTGAACCAGGTGTGCACCACGATCACTACTTCTTACACAGCAGTTGCCACATGCGTAATCTGGCCACATGTGTGGGATGCTTCAAATCAAACAGAACTAATATGAAAAAGAACACATCAAACCAAACGCAGACATTTAAAATCCCACTTTTTAAAGCTTTAAAAAGAGGCAAGCATCTGTTTGTTTTTAGGTCAGGGATAAGTGAAGCTATGTGGGATGGAGGATCAATGTCAGTGAAGACATGAGGACCACCTCAATGGACTTGGATCAGTGTTGTGGACACTTCATCACTGATTAATAAGGCCACCCAAACAGCAAGATAATGCACAGTGATGAGGACTGGTGCCTGCCTGGGGCGGGTTGGCTGCAGCCTTGTTTGGGTGTCTACGTGCGTAAATCTGGTGGTCTGAAGTCAGTTCCACATGCTCCCAGACAGAATAATGCGCACATCGTGTTTGTCAAAGTTGGCATGTAAGCAGTTCACGTTAAAAAAAAAAAAGGACCAGTGAAAACAATCATTTCAGCATCAATACAGACATGAAAACATGCAGAGAAGAGGTGTGTTCAGGTGTGGGATGTGCCCAGTCGACCGGGGCTACTTACCCATGTCTAATGTTGTCATACAGTCAGCTCGAACGTGTGAATATTTTATCACGATCATTTACAATCCATTTAGCAGAGGCGCGCTTTGCACAAGCGACGGATGGGATGACAGCCTCCCGGGGAGCTGTCAAACGGAGCCACGGTAGATGTCGATGTTTTTTTTTTTTCCTGACAGAAAACCCCGGGGAAAAATGGCGTCAACGGTGCTTTGGAGGAGAGAGAGAGAGAGAGAGGAAGATATGGAGGGAGCGAGAGAGAGAGAGAGAGAGGGA